GTCAACCCGGGGGGTTCCTGGGGTCTGAGATGGCTGACATTTTGGTGAGCGGAGGCAGCTCTCCGCTCACCTCCCGCGGCACGCGAAAACGAAGCTGTTTTGGGCTGTTTTGGGGCTGTTTTGCTCGGTTCGGTGAGCGGTCGCTTTGCAACGCTGCAGCTTGTTCAAACTTACATATTTACAAGCAAAATGACCCAAAACCATAAGAAAACATGCTGTTAAGCAGCTGTACATGCAGGTGTGAGCGACGAACGGTTCGTTGAACGGAGTTGTTGCGGGTGCGCGACGACCGTTCGTGACAGTACGGCCCTGTCCTAATCTTAGAATAAATTAGAAAACATACTTTATGCTCGCATTAGTGAGCTCTCTTTGTCCTAAATACAAACCCTTCCCGTTTCGCCTCATGCAGCCGTCTGTCACTGCCTGCTGCCCATCGTGCGTTGTTGATGGGTATGCTTTCTCATCCTCTTCCACTTCCTCCTTCTTCTTCCTCCTTCCTCCTTCCTCCCCCCTCTTTCTTCACCACCTTCTCTCCTTCGTCCTCTTCCTCGTCCCTCCTCTTCCTCTACCACACCCTCTTCTTCCTTTCTCTTCCTCGTTCTTCCTCTTCCTCCACTGCCTCCTCTTCTTCCTTTCTCCTCCTTCCTCGACCACCATTCCTCTTCTTCCTTTCTCCTCCTTCCTCGACCACCATTCCTCTTCTCCTTCTTCTTTCTATTCAAAACACTGGTACATATTGGTGTACCATTTGTTGTACACCAGTACCAATCGGTACATGCCGGTTCGGGCATCGACTGATATGGTCTGGTACACGAAATGGCATTCCCTGCTAGAGAGAGGACACATTTGATATTAATTGATTTCCTGTCACTGATATGTTTAATAGGAAGACTGATATGGGTCTGGTATGTGACATGGCGTTCCCTGCCAGCAAGAGGACAGATTCAGGATGAATTGATTTCCTGTCACTGATATGTTTAATAGGAATGATAGATGATAATAATTGATTAATGTAAGTGACTCCAAGCACTTTAGAGAATGTTTATTATACAGTTTTAAGTTATGAGCTCCATGAGTTGGTATTGATGCCATAGTATCCAATGCTTAATTTGTTTCTTAGCAGATTGGTTTCTCCATGTAGAACGGCTAGCCTCTCACCACTTTGTTATTACAATCAGCAAGCATTATAAATTTAACGTGTTTGACTTTTGCATCTTAGCATTATTGAGAACAGATGCTACCCGTTGAATGCATCTGTTGAGCAAGCAACGACCATTTGGTCTATTGACCTTATTGTATATTGCAACTGATGGACACCGTTCATCCCATGCTTAGAATTTTTTGGACTCTTTCTAGTGTCATCACTGTTACTGCTTCTTAGCATATCCTGCATCTGGCAATCTTTCTCTGACAAGTGTTTCTTGAGACGATCGTCACGGTTGTCATATACTTTTGTATCTCCGTCATGTTAGTACCCTAAAATTGTCTTTAATTATTTTGGCTGGCAGAGCATGGTGAAGGTCTTCAAGTTCTCCATTATGAAGTTGGACAGAAATATGAACCTCACTATGATTACTTTGTTGATGAATTTAACACTAGAAATGGGGGTCAGCGATTAGCAACACTTCTCATGTACCTGTATGTATCATACTTCATATTTTTCCTGGTTGTCTTCGACACTGGTCAATTATTCAAAATGTTACTGTTTTATTCAACTTATAACATTTTTGACCTGATGTTTGTTGATTCACTGTTGGTAAGTTCTGATGTCGAAGAAGGTGGTGAGACTGTGTTCCCTTCTGCCAAGGTATTCAGCAGTTCTTTACCGCGGTATACTGAGCTATCAGAGTGCGGGAAGAAGGGTCTTTCTATAAAACCCAAGATGGGAGATGCACTACTCTTTTGGAGCACGAGACCTGATGCCACTTTAGATCCATCAAGTTTACATGGTTAGTGGTTTCTAGTCGGCTATCTTATTCAGATGTGTACTATTTCAACAACACAGACATATCTTGGCTGAATTGTTAACATCTTTTTGTCGTATATAATACGTTGCAGGCGGATGTCCTGTCATAAGAGGAAATAAGTGGTCATCGACAAAATGGATGCATATCCGGGAATTTAGAGCTTAATGTATCGAGAAAGGTATCATATTGCCTCAAGATTATCAAGGATTTAGAAATTCTGATTTGACTTCTTGATTATTTCAGTAAATGTTAGTCTTTTCCATAAAGGACGAATCTGAGCCAATCACCTTCACTTCCACCTTTTATTTGACAACCAGAAGGAGATATCGATGTACATCACAGTGTCAACGTCTTTTGGAGATGGATTACCACTGAGGAGAAAACGTGCGATGGAGAATTGTGAGGATGTCGTGGACGGGCTGCTAATCTATTCATAGAAACTTCTTTTGTTTATGTAGGACCAACAACTGTATATACAGTCCTTTGAGTTTTGCTTGTATACTGTTCTTCTCTTAGTTATCTAAAAGACAAGTTGACCTACAACAAAATTGTAAGCGGAGTCGGTCACATGGATCTGAATCTTTTACCATTATTAAGATTAAAAAGTTATATGTTTAATTAATTTTTATTAAATCTTTTAATATACAAGTTGACTTGCTTATTGAAAATATTGATCATAGAATGGTGATTAGCTAGTATTAAGCAAGTATCACGTTTATTTTTTTTATCACATGTATTTTGTCGATATTAGGAGCATTTGCTTATGATTATCATTTTAATTATAATTGTATATATAAAAATTTTAATATATTTTTTATTATATAAAAAGTTTAATACTATAAATTTAAATAAAATAATGATAGATCAAATATATGATGTGTATTTTTGATGTCATTCAGAAAATCTTTGTCTATTTATAGGCGTATCATTGTTGAATCCGAGATGATGTTGATCTGTAATGAAAATTAAATTCACGTTCTCCTTTCTTTTTATTGAGGTTTTATCTTTTTTATATACGAGAACAGAGGATTTAAAATAAGTAATTAGGAGAGTTCCTTCGTCTAGTTCATCTCCTAAGAAATCATATTATATATTTTTTATTGATTAATAACCATAATTAAAATCCAATCATATTCATAATATATCTTACTTAATTAGATAAAATTATATAGTCTAATATTTTTCACTTAGCTCAATAATTGATAAGATATAAAAATTTAAAATAAAAATAAAAAATAAAATAAAAAATAATTTAAAAATAATTTTACTTAATTGGATTCTAAAATTTTTGAAAAAGCATTTTATATGTGCGCATGAATTTTATAAAATAAATCAATAAATCTAATAAACATAACATAATATTAAGTTTGACTATTAATGGAAGTCATAATTATTGTAAGTCATTAATATTATGTACCTTAGTCTTTCCTAATGTAATTTAAAATGATCATAGGACAATCTTGTTATCACATTCAATTGTACAAAATAATAAAAATAAATAACTTTAATTATATAAATAAAAATATCAATTATAATATTCACTCAAATATATTATTATATCTTTTATAGATTACTGATTAATCCAAAATATATTCTTTTAGACACTCTAAGTTATCAGTCTCAAGTGAATGAATATGCAATCAATACAGTAAAACTTAAATTTTTAGTTGACATTAATTATTTTTAAATTTTTTTCTCTAATCATCAAATACTTTATATCAGAATATTTAATTAACATTAATTATTTTTATTTTTATTTTCTAATCATCAAATATTTAATACCAGAATATATATATATATATATATATATATATATATATATATATATATATATATATATATATATATAACTGTTAGAGTATTTACTATTCTTATAAACAAAAACTAAAACTACTATGATATGTCAAAACGTATCACTCACTTGATTGCTCTGAAGCCAGGCTCCAACATCACCCTCACCGTGTTCCCCCCTTTCCGCCATTTGGGTACACCTAGACATCAGCGTCTTCAACACGTGTCGGTGTGCATTCTCGCTCCGATGACCTTAGTCTCGGCGATCGCTCGACGCAGTTGTCCTCCGTTCAGGCCACGGGGATGTACTTCAACAATTTACAGGTGAAGCTTGTAAATTGTCATAATATTGTATATTCCTCTCACAAGTAGAGCTGCACCCCAACAACATTTAAGAAGATTGCCATGAATAAAATCCAAGCTTAGGCAATTGGAAGCTCAGTTATATGATAGCAAACCATGTTCATCACAAACGACGCTACACCAACGTGATCAAGCTACTATATATCAAGAAAGCAGTATCTGGCGATTATACAATATATGACAATAATGACACAGATAAATGGCTCTGTTTGAGCTACTAAGAACATCTTAGTTGCTCTGATTAATTACACAACTCTATGTACTCCCAAATATCATAATTGGAACTAAACTAAAGTGCATTAAATACTAGGCTTGTACATTGTCCTTCCGGAGACAGGTGACATCACCTAACCTGTGAAATGAAGTACGAATGTTAGATATAATGGAAAGAGTTAAATTATCTACTAAGAAATCTGCTGCCAAAAAAAAAAAAAAGAGGACAAAAATCTATTGGGCTTTTGCATGCATATCCCTGTGAAATTGCCCTTTTCTAAACCCTGAAAGTTTGAGGCTCTCACTCTATTCCCATCTCTTTGAAACTTTTCCAGAAGATCCAGTCAAGGAAACGGAAGAAATTAGTAAAGGCAAAATCTTTAGGCAACCATTCAATTATTAGCCTCCTCTGCAAGGATAATAAATTAGTTTACACACTTTTTCCCATATCATGCCATATAACAACAGGAGTAAATACTGTTTTTTTTTTTGTTATCTGCAAATTCACTTATTGGCTTTCTTTAACTAATCAAAATATAATTTATTAAAAAGATTAGATGAGAGATAAAGGACTGTGGATGCCAAACAAAGGGGGTTTAGACTCTAGGGTGTAATACACCAAATGATGGCTTTGCAGGGCTCAATATTGTAAAAGGCACTTCACAGGGATATATATGCAAAAAAAAAAATTAATCCAAATACACCTCAAAATAAAAGAACTGATAGCGAATACTCACGTTCCAAGAATCTTTTTGGTATGGGGCACTAGGATCACCAACATATGGTGCATGCTGAACCCGGTCTCGTAAAAGTGGTAGCCTAGCCGGTATATATTCATCATCACTATCGCAGCCGTTTCTACTGTCTGGACCAAGAGCCCTGAGAATCATGCCCAGAAAGAGGGACATAGCCTAGCATATCAGAGGAAAAAAAAACCTTTTAGATTTAGAACAAATTAATAATCTAAATCATAAAAAAGCTAACATCGCAGAGGTGGAGGGGCAAGATGAATATCAGACAGTTCCAGTGGGAAGATATGAGGTATATGCAATTGCTGCAAACTGTAAAAAATTATTAAACACCAATTTTGGTAAATTACCGAGAAAACAGAATAAGAACTTGTCACAATAGATACCCTAGGATATAGAATGAGTACACACATATAGTTGAAAAAGACCGGTCGTCAAAATCTATATATGAATACGGAAATTATTTGCAGTCCTATGATGAGGTGGCTAACACAGATGTTCAGAAATATGCAGTTATATAGTGCTTTTAAGTTTTCTGTAATCGTTGAATCAACAGAGCAAAATCCAATAACAATTAAAAAATGGATGTTGTACATGGTTCCAAGAAAAATCCAATAACAACTAAAAAATGGATGACGTACCCAATTGTTGATCTAACCATGACTTTAAGTTTCAGCTTATTCTGGCCAAAACTGCATCAGTTTCGAGATGCACTGATAGGCTCATCTAATCAGTTTGGCCAATACCAAATTAATTGGATCAGGCTTTTCTAAGTTTAGTTCCACTGGTTTCTGTGATTACAAATTGGGTTGACTGGAACTAAAAGATCACAATCAATTAGTTAAATTGATAAATTTAGGCTAGATTTAAGTGAATAGATAAATTTTAAAGCTAGATTTAAGTGATTAGTTAAATAAAAATAAATAAATGTCTTCAATCAATTTGTTGTAACATTGCCCGACATTAAAAACAAGTCATCAGATACAATGATTCATTTAAGGGGTGGTCCAGTCCATGACACTCCAGCCAATGCAGAGTTTGGGTAGCTATTAAAAATTACATTTTGCATAGTTAAATTTGAAGATAGTTGAGATGTTCAAAAAAATGATAAAACACAAATTTCAACAAAAGCATGTTTCAACTTTCCATAAATTGTATGAAAAGCATACCTGTGTAGCCACAATCACCGAACCTATCCATCTGCACAACTCATCATTTGATCTAATGAAATTCTTAAACTCATTAAATCTCCCAGTTTGATCTTCTGGGAAATCCTGTTAAATGATCAGACCATACAGAAATATAATGTTAGCAACATTAACCAAAATTTCCATATACAAAAAGAACTTGACAGATGTACCTCTTCCCAATCTCTGTTCAGAATTACGTCTGCAGCTACTGCAGCCTCCAGCATCACAAGAAAAAACACTAAAGCCATATACTGTAATTATTCAAGGATAACAGTAATTATGTCACAGGTTTAAATCATAATTGACTGAAAAATGATTCTTTTTGGAAGTTGCAGTAAAGAGTTATGCATGCTTGATTCCTGTAGAAATGAAAATTCCAGAGGAACAAACAACCAAAAAAGGGAAAATGAATTAGTGACTGAAGGTAAGTTATGCATTTCCATATGTTTTTATCTTTTAGCTTACAAGCAATTAAGTATGGTAGTAACTCTGGAATCAATTGGGATATATATTCAACTACAACTAAAAACAAACATTGTTACCTAGAATATTGATGCATGACAGAATTTGCGTTTCTACTTCAGATGATACGGTTAAAACAAATTATAATTAAACCCAGCGACATCAAACTTTTGATACAAAAATCCTCTCTATATACCACCAAAACTGAAAGACTTGCTTGATAACACCCTCATGAAAATAAAATGCAATGTCAAATGAAAAAGAGAGCCTTTTGAAATGGATCATAAAAGAAGATGAATAAGATTCAGAAGTGATCAGATAAATAAGTTTAACATATTCATATGACATACATACAACAAAGAGAAATTCCTACAAATTAATTCATATTCTTTTCAGTTACGAAATATGATTGAAGTTCAAACTGCATATCAATGTTTTTTGTTGTGTTCAACTATAAGAATCAAAATTCATGGTCTATTACAAATATTTGCAATGTGTAGGTGCTTTGTATAGAGGAAGAAGGCACCCAGATATCAATTTACAAAGAAGTGTTAAGTATCCAGCGTCCATCAGCTAATGTATAGTATTAGCTTTATAACATTGTTTATTCAGTAAAAGAACATATAACAATCAACATTAATTTTAATTTATATTTTCCACATCTAGAAAGCTCTGTAACCATTTGCAACAGAGAAGTACTGCAGAAAAACAAAGCTACTCAGAACAACAAAAAAGTCATTATAGCTATTAAACATGGGTTCAAGCTAAAAATCACATGATTCTGTCTTAATTCTGAGTGTAGGATACACAAGCAAGGCCATGACCATTGGCTGTTTCCGCAGCAATATGACCAA